TCTCAGGTCTTCACTTTGAAAAACACACACACACACACACAAAAAAAAAAAAGTGGAAAAAAACGACCCCGCGAGTCGGAAGCACTGATGCAACGGAGATGGCAGAGGGAGACATTTCCACTGTGTGGAGCCCCGGTGGGTACTGCCAGCCCCAGAGCTGCCCTCACCTCTGTGCCCGCAGGGCCACTTCGTGCTCTGGCTCCTTGCCCAGGTATGAGCCCGTCCAGCCACCAGTGGCCTCACGGGGCAGGGGCTGCAGCACCGGGCGCCTTTTCCCGTCAGGCAGAGCGTGTCACCCTCTTCTTCCTCATCCTCCGTGTCCCCATCCTGCCTGGAGCCCGGAGCGCGGAAAGGTGCCGAAAGCTCTGAGTGTGGGTGCACGCGCCGGTGCCGCCCCGCACGGGGCTGGCGAGGAGCAGGAGAGGGCAAGCGGCCAAGGGCTGGATCCCCCTGGGACGCTTCATCCGTTTGAAATGAGACCCCTTGTCCACGCTGGAGTGTTGCGCCGGGACCCGCTGCTCCTGCTTCTCCCTGCCCGGTGCTTCCTGCTGCCAGAGGCTCCAGCAATGTCTTCACACTTTGGGGATGGAGTTTGCTGCTTTTGGCACAAACTCCGTGGAGGGCAGCGAGCTACAAGTATTTTTGAAACAAACGAAGCCGCCGTGCTGCTTGTCCTGTGTCGCCCGGCACTGTTGGCACTTGTATGCAAAGTCACTGTGCTCCTTCAGCCATCCTGCCATCTTCTCCTCTTTAACTCGTTTGCTTCCACAAAAAAACATTGGATTTTGGGGGCTTGGAGGCAGGGCTGGCTCAGCCTCCCACACGGGAATTTCCATGTACGACTCCACTTACTGCCTACAGCCAGAGTTTTGCTCTTTGTGCCCTGAGCCAGGAGCTGCAGAGCAAAGGAGCATCCCCGCCAGAGGTTTCTCTTCCTGCCACCGCCTCGGCGGCAACCCAAAGCCTCCTCTTCGCCTTGCTGCTGCGCCCTGTGTGCCTACAGATCCCCCGGCACTGCGCTGGGAAGAGGCTCCCACTGTGCTCTGCCAGGAGTTTGCAAGCACGGGAAGGAGGGAATGGTCTCAGTGCTAAGGACGAGCATAGGATGCAAGTGCCTCGTGCATGAGTTGTGTTGGCGCCCGAGGAGCGATACCGGCAGCAGGGACTTGCTCGCCAGCTCATACTTGGCCCTGCTCGCTTGAACTGGAGTGGGACTGGCCGTCTGCATGGAGCTGGGGAACGCAATGGGGTGGCGAGTGCTTTGAGATCGCAGCCCTGTTCTTGGGCACAGCGTCTGGTTCCCAGTGCTGCTGTTGGAGGGGTCAGTGTCGGAGTCCCCGCCGGTCTGAGCAGACATCGCGCTGGCTGGGGGGGTGCTGGTCCCGGGCCAC